TGGATTTTCAAAACACCCTGCTGGTTGCCATGTGGCTGCAGGGAGCCCACCAGGAAGGCAAAAGTGACGGTGGCCTGGACCAGGGTGGTGGCCGTTGAGAGAATGGAGGGAAGGACTGGGGATGCGTTTTGGGGGAGAGCAGATACATCCCTTCCCACCCCCCCCCCATGACTAGGTTCCTTTCCCTGAGGCATCAGTCCCATTTGTGGTGAAGATTAATCTCTCCCAACTTCCTTTCAAGTAGAATGGGCTTCCTGGGGGAGGTTTTAATTATATATATATATATATATATATATATATATATATATATATATATATATATATAAAATTGATTTTTTACAGAGAGGAAGGGAGAGGGATAGAGAGCTAGAAACATCAATGAGAGAAACATTGATTAGCTGGGGATGTGCCTGCAACCAAGGCACATGCTCCAGACCGTAATCAAAGCTGGGACCCTTCAGTCCATCATCCGATGCTCTATCCATTGGGCCAAACCAGTTGGGTTGGGGGAGGTCTAAAGAGCAGCTGCTGCCGAAACCGGTTTGGCTCAGTGGTAGAGTGTCAGTCTGCGGACTGAAAGGTCCCAGGTTCGATTCCGGTCAAGGGCATGTACACTGGTTGCAGGCACATCCCTGGTGGGGGGTGTGCAAGAGGCAGCTGGTCAATGTTTCTCTCTCATCAACGTTTCTATCTCTCTATCCCTCTCTCCTCCTCTCTGTAAAAAATCAATAAAATATATATTAAAAAAAAAAAAAAGAAAAAGTAAAGAGCGGCTGAAACCAGTTTGGCTCAGTGGTAGAGCGTTGGTCTGCGGACTGAAAGGTCCCTGATTTGATTCCGGTCAAGGGCATGTACCTTGGTTGCGGGCACATCCCTGGTAGGGGGTGTGCAAGAGGCAACTGGTCGATGTTTCTCTCATTGACGTTTCTAGCTCTCTATCTCTCTCCCTTCCTCTCTGTGAAAAATCAATAAAATATATTATAAAAAAAAAAAGTAAAGAGTGGCTGCTGATGAGGGAGGAGCCAGCGGCCTCCACCTAGCTGGCATCCCTCCCCCTTATGTGCATATCCTCTGCGCTTTCCAAATGCTCACAGCGAGGATGAAAACAAGGCTCAGTGAGGCAGAGACTACCCAAGGCCACCGAGCATTCAGGGCAGGGCCGGGCAGCAAACCCACACACTCAGCGTATCGCCATCTTGCCGTTCTCATTCTCACCGTGGGAGCGGTGATGTAGACAAGGAGGGTGAGTGCTGACGCCGTTTCAGAGACAGTGAAACTGAGGTTCGGGGGAATTAGGACGCATGTCCTGGGCAGGGCTGTGTAAAGACCTCTGTGGGCCCCACACCTATGAAGCATATTAAAATGCAGCTATATCAAACATCAAGTGCAAATTACATACAGCCAGATAAAAGCCAAATTGCAGTTGACTGGCTGATATCATGTGCTGTTTCGCAGACGTTTAATTAAACATTTATTAATTTTGATTCTGCAGTTTTTCCCCTGTGTTATAGAGCCAATCTCACATCCCCATCCCCACCCCCTCCCCCAGGCCTCACACATTGTCCTAGGCCCATAAAAACCTTGCAGGCCCTTGGCAGTGAGCATGCAGTGGGGCTGGCAGGAACAGCCACAGATCTTGCTTCTGTTGCCAACGAAGGCAGAGAATTGCTGAACCTAAGCCTTTCCATCCCCCCAACTGTGACATGATCTCTCTACGCTCCCTGCTGACCGCAAGTTTTGGGGTCTCAGAGGCCTTCTTTCTTCCCCTACCCCTTCCCTGATCCGGCCCTCTGTGGTCCTGGGCTGAGGGAGCCCTTTGTCTGTGGTTAGCTGGGGTGTGGGTGTTGGGAGCTGGCAGGAGTGGGCGAGGAGGGGGGCAGGCGGCCTGTCAGGTGGTGATGGATGCTGGCTGGGCTGGGGCCTCCCTCATGCTGACCAGGGCCAGGAAACAGATGGTCTTCCACCAGCCTGAGAGAAACTTCCAGGGTGTCGCCCTCCCCCAACTCCCCAGGCCCCTTCATGTGGGACCAGCTGGTCTCTCCTTCCTGCTCAAAGCCAGAGCCATGGGAACGGGCAGGGAACGGGGTCTGGAGGAGATGGGGGCTGAGAAAGGTGGTCTGTGTTCTGGGCCCTCAGAAGCTCTGGGGGCCCACCTGGTCTCTCCCCCAGGACCCCACACGCCCTCTGGCCATCCCCAGCTCTGTTCTCTGCCCCTCCTCTGTGCCCTGCCTGAGCGAGGCCCTGGCATTCCAGGCCTGGACCAAGCCCCAGCCTCTCCTGGCTTTCCTCCAAACCAGCCTCCAGACCACGCTTTCCGAGCCACTGAGCTCATCCCATCACCCCTGATTCTGGGATAGAATTCAAATTTAGAATAAAATATGAACTCTTCAGTCCAGAATTTGATGCCCTTCGCAGTTCTAGTGTTCCTGTGCCCCTGTCCATAAACCCTCCTTCCTGACAAACCACTGGCCAGTCCCCTAAAAGGCCACGTTCTCTCATGCCTCTGTGCCTTTGTTCAGCTGACTATTCCACCTAGAATGCCCTTCCATTGCCCTTGCCGGTTTGGCTCAGCGGTTAGAGCGTCAGCCTGCAGACGGAAGGGTCTTGGGTTCGATTCCTGTCAAGGGCATATGCCTGGGTTGCCAGCTCCATCCCCAGTAGGGGGCATGCAGGAGACAGCCGATCAACAATTCTCTCACCATTGATGTTTCTTTCTCTCCCTCTCCCTCTCTGAAATCAATAAAAATATATTTTTAAAAACAGAACGCCCTTCCACCCGTTGTGTGCCTTAAAATACCTGCCCATGCTTTAAAACTCTTTCTTCCTCCAGGAAGTCTTCCCTGACCCCCTTAACCCCCCAGCCAGAGCCACCCATCTCTTCTCTGGGTTCCTCGGCATCTCAGAGCATCTATTTCAGCTCTTACCATGTCTCTCCCACGGGAGTGAGAGACAAAGGCAACAGGACAGGGCACATAGCAAGTGGTCATATTACACTTGCTCTGTGAATGAGTGATTCTGGCTGCAGGGATCCTTATGTGAGGGTGTAGGTATAGAACAAAAGATACAGGGAGGAGACAAATGTCTGCTCATCAGAGAAACACAACCCGCCTGGAGCTGCTCGGAAGCAGAAGGCCCGCCTCTGGAAACAGGGACTCCCTACCACAAAGTGTGTGAGCAGAGCGTGTAAAGCACGCGGCCGAGAACTGCTAGAGGAATGTCAGCGTTGGGTGGGAGAGTTAGCTGAAGGATCGGGGATGGCAAGGAGAACCCCAATTGGGATGTTTCCAGCCACGTTTTCAGGGGAGAGTTTGGATCCGAGAACATTTGCTCTGAAAGGATCTCCAGAGTCATCAAACCCATCCCTATTGGAGAAACTGAGGCCCAGAGAGGGCCCACCATGGATACTCACTGGAGAAGCTCTGGGTCTGTCAGTGGGTCCCACATTTCAGGCAGCACTGCCGTTCCTCCCGTGGGCTGGCTGTACACAGTTGAGTGCTGTTGGCCTCTAAAGAACCCTCTGAAAACGCCAGCACTTCGTTTCTGGGAAATCCCTGGTTCCCCAACGTCTGATGGAGGCAACAAGGTCACTGACTATGTTGTGTCTCTTCCCGCCCCCCCTCCCCGGTTTATGGGGAAATCACTTCTAAAGGAGTCCCCTCTGGTTTCAGCAAAAGGCATGGGTCAGAGAATTTGGGGGTTGGGGGGCCAGTGTCTATGGTTGCAACCGCCAGGGGTGGAGCTGCTGGGCCAGGCACCGGGACGGAGAGGAGAGATCAGATGCAGAGACCTGTGTGGACAGTCCCTTGTCACCCAGTGGGCACTGCAGTTCACAGTCGCCAAGGATCTCACCCACTTAACCTCACAGGCAGGGCTCCGAGAGGGCCTTCTTGCTCAAGATGACACAACTAAGTGAGGAATTGATCTCAGGACTTTGGGATTCCCTCTATGCCCCCTACTGGGTTACCAGAGTTCCATTCAGTTAAATTTTCAGTCACTCACACGTTCATTCATTTATGCATTCAGGCAACACACAGATCGAGCATCTCCGTGGTAAGAATTGGAGACACAGCAGTTAGCAAGCCGCCCCAATCATTCCCACAGAGATCAGTGTGCCGGCGGTGGGTGCATAAGCAGACAGTTACACCCGCTGTGAAAAGTGCTGGGTTGGAGGGAAGCCTGGGAGAGGCCCCTACTCCAAGTGGAGAGATCCAGGAAGAAATCATGTTTATGAGCTGAGCCTTGGGGGGAAAAGCAAGAGTTATCCTGTTTGGGGGCTGGCGTGGGGGTGTTACCAGGCAGAGGAAACAGCAGTTGCAAAAGCCCAGGGTGAGGAGGAGGACTGTGGGCTGGAGCCTGTGGCCTGTGCAGAGTAGCTGGAGGCATGACGTTTGTTGGGAGAAGTGAGAAGCAGCAGCAAAGTCTCCAAGGCCAGAGGGTGTCTAAGCAGCCTCCTCTAGCTCGTGGGGAGATGGGCACTCAGAGGTGGGCTTGGCTACACACCAGAAAGCTGCTGGTGGCTACAGAGCTGGGGGTGGCACCAGGAACTGCTCCTGCGTAGGCAAACTCTTGGCATGCAGGGAGAGGCCGAGTTGCTTAATGGTTAGAAGGTGAGCCCTGTGGCCAGGCTGCCTGGGTGTGAATGCTTCCTAGCTGTGTGACCTTGGACCAAGGACATACCTCTCTGGGTCTCAGTTTTCTCATCTATACAATGGGGATAATAGCAGGGCTGTTGTAAGCCCAGGGCCCTGTAGGGAGCCAGGAATCCGGGGAAGAAAGCAGGCCCCCATGTGGCAGAGCAGCATTGATGATGAGAATGCTGTGCTAAGCCTTTCCTTTGTGTCCCTGCTTTAAGCCGAAGAGCCCATCAGGAATTCCCCAACCACAGCCCCAGAAGTGGGGCCTTTCCAAACGCCCCTTTTACGTTTGTGGTGTTAGGCTCTGTGTGGCACGGGCCAGGTTTGGTTCGGAGTGGGCGCCTCAGCACCGCGTCCCTCCGGCAGGTACCTGCGCACCATGTACCTGGGGCTGCAGAGCCGCTGGCGCGGGGAGCGGCTGCGGCGCCACTTCTACTGGCGGATGCTGTTCGAGAGCGCGGACGTGAGCATGCTGCGCCTGCTGGAGACCTTCCTGCGCAGCGCGCCGCAGCTCGTGCTGCAGCTCAGCCTGCTGGTGCACCGCGGCGGCCGCCCGGACCTGCTGCCCGGTGAGCCGCCCCTGGCCCTCCCGCCCGCCCGCCGTGCTCCCGGGATGGCCTGCGTCCCCGCCCCAGCCCCAGCCCCAGCCCGGGCTCACTCCTCTCCAGTATTCCGTATTCTGACTGCCCCAGTGTCAGCTCTTCCTGCTGCAGGCCCCTCCCCGCTCCCAGCCGAGGTTTTGCAGCCCCTTCTGCTCTCACCCCGCTCCAGGCCGGTGAAGACCTCCATGTCCCCTCCCATAGTCCCCTGGGTTCGTCCCCCGACCGGACCCTCCGCCCTTCCCCATTGTCAGGGCAGACCAGACCCATTGTTGCCCAAGTCCAAAGAGGCCCTTGACCCCCTCGCCACACCTCAGGCCCTCCCCACCCGCTTCATTCTCCAAACTGTCCTGATCCCAGCGTGCACCCCTCCAGGGACTCCCTGACTCGCAGACCTGCCCAATCACGGTTTCCAGAGAGCCTGTCCATCCACCCTCTCCCTGCTCTTCGCCCCCTGGGAACCCGTCCCAGGCCCAGCTCAGGTCCTGTGCACCCAGCTCCTCCTTGCCCCTTCCCTAACGCCAACAGACCAGAACCCCGTCCATGTCAGCAAAAAGCCACATCCCTCTCTCTGGGGCTCCCCATGCTCCTCCCTCCAGGACTCTGCCCAGCCCGCCCTTAATGTCCAGAAAGACTATCACTCCGTCTCAGGCCCCCTGGGCATTCCCCGCTGGGGTGACGGGGCCCCCATCCAAACTCTGGCCACTGTAGATTTTCTCTCCGTCCCCTCAGCTGTGCTCAGCGTGGACAGTCCTCTCCACACCCTAGTCTCAGCCTGGTGACCTCTAGCTTCTAATAGTCCTCTCCTGGCCTCTCCAGGCCCTGACTGTGACACCCCCTCCCAACTCTGCACCTCCTTTCCCATTCCCAGAGCCCCAGACTCGAATTCCCCACCTTCCCACCAAGCCCCCGAACCCTAACGGTCTGATACTGGAGACCTAGCCCTAACCCTTACGGAGACCCAAACCACCCCCCTTCCCTCTCCTTTTATGCTCCCGCCCTGAAGACTGTACCCAACTCTATCCATCCCCATGCCCCACCATCACTTTTTAAGACCACCCTCTGAGACCCTCCTCCCACCCCCTGCCTGATGCACAGCCCCTCCCCTCACACCGCCTCAGAACCCAGCTCCTGACCCGCAACCCTCCCCTCCACCCACCCCCCACCCAGACCCACCCCTAACCCGGCCCGCCCCGCCCCCGCCCTGTCTCCGCAGCCCTCTCCACCTCCGCCTCCCTCGTGTCCCTGGCCTGGACGCTGGCCTCCTACCAGAAGGTGCTGCGGGACTCGCGAGACGACAAGCGGCCGCTGTCCTACAAGGGCGCCGTGGCGCAGGTGCTCTGGCACCTGTTCACCATCGCGGCCCGCGGCCTGGCCTTCGCGCTCTTCGCCAGCGTCTACAGGCTCTACTTCGGCATCTTCGTCGTGGCCCACTGGTGCGTCATGACCTTCTGGGTCATCCAGGGCGAGACGGACTTCTGCATGTCCAAGTGGGAGGAGATCATCTACAACATGGTGGTGGGCATCATCTACATCTTCTGCTGGTTCAACGTCAAGGAGGGCCGCAGCCGCCGCCGCATGACCCTCTACTACGGCATCGTCCTGCTGGAGAACGCGGCGCTCACCGGCTTCTGGTACGCCAGCCGCAACTTCTCCGCCGACCTGCACTCGCTCATCCTGGTCTGCGTGGTGGCCTCCAGCTTCGCGCTGGGCATATTCTTCATGTGCGTCTACTACTGCCTCCTGCACCCCAACGGGCCCATGCTGGGCCCCCAGGCGCCCGGCTGCATCTGCCCGGAGACCCCAGAGCCCCGCGGCCCGCCGGCCGACGCCGTCACAAGCCCCCCGAGGTCCCTGCCGAGGACTACAGGCGCCGAGCGGGATGGGGTCTCGGTGGGGGGGGAGCGGGCGGGGACCCCCACGCCGCCTGTCTTCCAGGTGCGGCCCGGCCTGCCTCCCACACCGGTGGCCCGCGCCTTGCGGACAGAGGGGCCCGTCATTCGGATTGACCTGCCTCGTAAGAAGTACCCCGCGTGGGATGCGCATTTTATTGACCGCCGGCTCCGGAAGACCATTCTGGCGCTGGAGTACTCCTCGCCCGTCACGCCCCGGTTGCAGTACCGGAGCATGGGGACCTCGCAGGAGCTACTGGAGTATGAGACCACAGTGTAGGCCACAGCTTCTCCCCCCAGAAAGGGATGGGCTTGGCTGACCTCATATCGACCACAGTGTTGAGCCTGGGATTTCAGGGCCGCCAGGCTAAGGGGAAGCAGATCTGCTGGTCCAAGGGTAGAGTGGCTCCACCACTGGGTTCTTTCAGGGGAGGGGGCAGCCTCATGGAGGCCTCAGCCCTCGGCCCTGTTTCCAGCCCTGTGGCCCATTTTCTAACACTCCCCCCCCTCGACCCAGGGCCCAAGGGATTAACTGGTGCTACACGCCTCATGCGCTGCCCGCTTTCACGGAGGCCTCCATACCCCCTCTGGTGCTGGGGGCTCCACACCCTCTCCCCCACCTGGAGCTGCCCACGTGTCCCCCCGGTGGACTTGTCAGAGGAAGGGCCCCGTCTGAGGTCCGTGACTGAGGCCCTGTGCTCCTGAGGGGGTGCTGGGGATGAAGGAGGCTATGGAAGATGGGGGGTGAGGTGGGAGAGTCTGGTGGACGAGGTGGGTACAGTTCCTGTGGGGCCCAAGGTTTGGAGCTTGGGCCAGAGAGGAGGATTTAAGGGAGGAAGTTGGGGTGGGTGGGGAGTCGAGGGTGGGAGGTAGACAGTGCTAGAGCTGGAGGGGAGGGAGAACCCGAGACATCTGAGGGGTTCGAGCTAGCTGGAACGCCAAGGGTCGTGGATCCAGAGCACCGAGAATGCTTCCCAAGTGAACTCCTCCAGAGTCTCCTGTTCGTGGGCTGGGCTATGGGTGAGGTTCCAGACCCCTCAAGGGAAATGCTTCCTGGAGTCGTTCTTTGTTCTAGACGAGCGTCTAAAGCGTTCCTTGTAGGAAAAAAAAGGGTTTGAAAGCAACAGGTAAAATGTCTAGGAAGATATCCTGTCTGGGTTCAATTATAGATGAGGTTCTAGCACAGTTAGCAGAGGAACTGTTCTAGAGGGACATCCTTAGTTCTGGATGAAGTTCTAGATCACTTAGCTGGCCAGCTGGCCTAGGGCATCACGGACCTGGATTCTGTGGTCAGGCTGAGTGCACTGGGGCCCTGTGCTGTGCTCCGGGGCGTTGCAGATCCTGCCATGGTGGTGGAGGAGCGGCCTCTGGAACCCCATGTGAGTGGCTCTCCTGGGCGGCAGCTAGACAACGGCTTTGTTTTGTCCAATCCTTGAGACGTGTGGTCTATTCCCATGTCCCAAATATCCCATGGTGCCTGGAGATCATTCACCCTGGGCCTCTCCTCTCCACCTGGGACGGCCAGTCCTGGGGTGGGGAGTGCAGGAGTAGGCAGTCTGTGGGGTGAGGGGACAAAGCCTCTAGGCAGAGCTTGGAACCCCCCATCATGTCCCCGTTCCCCATGCAAACTAAGGTGTGTTCACTGCAAGGACACAGTGGGTGATGTTCAGGCAAGATGCAGGCCTGGGCTGGGAGTGAGATGCCCCGTGAGGATCCTAGACTATGCAAATGAGAGGAGCACTTAACCCTCTCTGGTTCAGCCTCCCTGGGGTTACAGATGGGAAACTGAGGCCCAGAGAGGCAGCTAGTCTCACAAGGTCTCAGACTCCTGCTGTTCCATCAGCTAGTGATGGGTGATAGGGAGTTTGCTGAGGATGAAAGGAGAGGGCCACACTGGGGGTGCAGGGTGACCCGAAAGGCAGACAGGACAGGACCACCCACATAAACACACACATATAAGCACACATGAAACCTGTGACACAAGTCACCTCACCCCCTGGCACACCAGCTGAGATGGTGTGTGCGTTCCTCCCACCATCACATGAAGAATGCTCCTCCCTCTTCCTTCTCCGCCCCTAATCCCCGAGAACGCTTGGGAACCAGGCCTCCAGGGGACAGGTGGTGGGGGACCCAACCTCCCTTTGGTTCGTTCACCCACCCTCCTGGATCTGCCCAGACCGATCTTTGGAGGCGGAATTTCACGGCGTTACACACACAGAGCCCTTTGTGAGGTGGCGCATTGAGATTGTGGACACAGGTCCTCCTGACTGTTTCTCCAGGGCTGACCGTGCCAGTTTTCACCCTGCCTTGTTTCACTTAAACTTTTCCTGGCTTGCAGCTCCCCTAAAAAATAAGTGCTATCAACCCCTCTCACAGAGGAGGAAACTGAGGCTCAGAGATGTGACATGCGGTCACCCTTGGCAAGTTATTTTACCCACCAGGGTCCTAGAATGGCTCATCTGGCATCCGTTCTCCAGCATCCTAAAAGGAAACGTTAAAAAATAACCTCTCTAGGAGCTGGGAGTCCTTACGGCTCCGTGAGAGACCCAGCGAAGAGGGAGAATCCAGAGCTGGCAGTGCCCGAGGCAGGGCTAGAGGCTCTTGGGGAAGCCTTGACCACAGTTTTGGACCTTACTCCATCCCCACCCCCTCATCTCAACCCCACAAACCTCCCCTCTGAACCTCTGCTGCAAGACCTGACCAGCAGAAACGGCCCTCAGAGAGGGCCCCGGCACCTCCTCCTGCTTCTCACCCTCAGGAAAAACCTTAGCCCCTTAAGGACTCCCCCACCCTCACCCCCAGGAACTCAAGACCCCATCCCTGCAGGCCTGAGGTCCCTCTCCACCAGCCTGTCCTCCACTTCGTCTGGTCCTTGCCAGTCCTCTGTCTCAGTGGAGAGGGCACAATCCCATTCCAGCTGTTGTTTTGTTTTTGTTTCTGTGACAATCTACCTCAGCCAGTCTCTTCCCCACCAGAATTGGATCCCCCGAGCCCCCGACTCCTGCTCCCCATTTTCTGCCCCCGCCCGAGCCTAGCTGTTCAGTCCTCTCCCAGAAACCCTACAGGGTCATTACAGTGAGAGCAGGTTCCAGGACCACAACCTAGAGGGGTCCTCATGATGAGCCATCCGCCCTCCACATCCACTGTTCTGGTGAAGGAGAAAGGAGGCCCAGAGAGGGCTGGGGACTTGCCCAAGATCACACAGGAAGTCAGTGGCATGGTAAGGCTTTTCCTGGAGCTGAGACAAAATTGGGTTCCCCGTCCCCCCCTCCCCCCCCAGAGAGGAAGGGAGAAGAGAGATAGATAAAAACATCAATGTTGAGAGAGAACCATCCATCAGCTGCCTCCTGCACGCCCCCTAGTGGGGATTGATCGGGAAACCCAGTATGTGCCCTTGACCGGAATTGAACGTGGGACCCTTCAGGCTGTAGGCCGATACTTTATCCACCAACCCAAACCGGCTAGGGCAGCTTAATTTTTCCAGGAATAGACGAGAACAGGATGCTCTGGGTACCCACTATGCCAGACCCTGCCCTGTCCTCAGTATCTTCATCCCCAAGAGACAGGTGTCCCCATGTCCAGGACAGACTTCTGTCTCCTAGTTTTCCGGAACCGACCCCTCAGGCTACTACTGACTGCTCCCCAGACCTCTCCAGGCACCACACACCCCTTGTCATACCTCCATGCACTGATGTACCATGTGCCTTCTAATCGCCATCTCAGCCAAACACACAGGCCTCCACCCTCCACGCAAGGGACTCCCAACAACAAAGTCTCTTCTGCTCCCCCCTCTCTGCCTCATCCCCCAAATCTGCCTTTCCCCTAGCCAGCTCCCTGCTAAACGTGTGTCCCACAGAGCGTGCCACCCGTGAGAACTGGTGAAAGCGGAGGAGGGAAGGGAAGGCTGGGGGATGTCTGGGTCTCAGGGTGAATCTCAAGGGACAGTGCATCCAAGGAAGACCTTGCCTGGCAGCCCCGAAGTTCTGAAGGTCTTTGCTGTGGAGCTCACCTGGGCGTGGAGTGGACAGAAGCCTCAGACAGTGGGGAGAAGGTTTTGGGGAGTAGGGTGCATGGGTTGCAAATTCAAATGCCTTCAGGTGATGAAAATGATAACGTAGTGGTGCTACACCAGAGGGGGTGGTGAGGACTCTGGTAAACAGGAGAGTGCATACCCTGCCTACAGGTACTAAAATTCAAATATTTGAAAAATCCTGAGCTGGCCAAACAAAACACTTATATTTGGGCCATTCGTCACCAGTTTGGAATTCTGGGGAGCCCTACAGCTCCCGGATACCCTCTGGGGGAGTTAAGGACAGAGGCCCTGGCTTCCTCTGAGACTTTTCTAGTCCAACCCTCAACTTTCACCTCCTGGCCACCTAAGAGTTGGCCCCTGAGTTAGGAATCACCATCTGCTAAGCCTAAGGGCTAGAGACCCCCCAGTGCCTGATGAAGTTAGCTTGGGGGCCCCTGGTTAGGAAGAACCTGCATGGGGTGGGAGGAGAGTCCACGTTCAGGATGAGGACTGAAAGCCAGAACCCAACTGCCCTTTTCAGTGCTGGCCCCTGCCACCCTTTGACACCCATCTTCCTCCCAGGTAAAGCTGGAGGTCGGGCCTTCGGGGAGAGGAACTATCCCTTTTCATACTGAAGTGCTTTGTGATTTCTCAACGAAAGGGGCTGAGGGCCAAGCCATGTGGGCAGCAGTGGGGATGGGGCCTGAGTGCCCCCTTCCCAACCAGAGGGGCTTCTGAGACCCCGGGGCTGGCGGGGAAAGGAGTGGTGTGTGCCATTCTGTTTGGGGAGGAGCTGGGACATTCCCAGGTTCTTGGATGCTTCAGGTTGAGGCAAGGCGAGGAAGGGAAGTGCGAGAGGAAGGCTCTGTCTGGGATGGCCTGGTTCCTGGAAGCAGAAAACTCCCCAGGGAGAGAGGGGCAGTTCCCTCCTGCCTGGCCACCTCCACCCTTCCCTTCTCACTGCAAGGAGGGGCTGCCTTCTCCCCAGCGATCCTGGCCTTTATTCTATGCACAATCGTTGTAAGGGCACCGCCAGGCCAGGCCGGAGGGGTGAGGGCCTAGAGCACCCGCAATAATCCCAGAGTGGAGGGCAGCCTGAGGCACAAGGGGGTGAGAAAAGTACCAGGCAGGACAAGGATATTTCGCTGTCTCCCTCTCACCAAATCCCAGAATCCATCTCCATGGGGCTAACCCACCAAGCTTAGGGGGGCCTCGTACACAAAGCCCCCTAACCTCTTGGTTTCCCAAACGGTCAGAAGTAGCTGGAAAGGACCCAGCGATTCCCGGAGCCCTTGTTATTATTTTCACCCCTGAGGATCCTAGCATTTGGGAGATTCTTCTCCTGAACAAGCCTCGATTCTTGAAGCATCATTTATTTTCTCATATTCAATTAACGCAAGCTGAGCTTCTGAGTGCACAGAAATGCTACCAAGACCTCAAGTTAGCTTCTGGGGCCTGGGGCTGGAGGGTTGGGGCATATCTGTGTTGTATCACAGTGTTTACACAATTCCCAAGAGCACTAGTGGACCTGCGTTCCTGCGTGCACACACACACATACACACACACACACACACACACCACCAGAGTTTCGGACCCCGAGGTGAGAATCCGCGTTTTAACCACCCAGCATCCTGATTTCCTGAAAGGGTGAGCCCAGAGAGGCAGCCAGCCCAAGGCCACACAGTGAGTTGGGGCAGGCTGGGGTTTTCAGGGTGCAAGGAGCACTCCCAGCGCTGACCTGCCTCTCCAATCCAGCGTGCCCCCCCCCCTCCAGGAACCACTAGCCATGCCCGAGGGGCTGATTCCCCTCCCTCAGCACAATTCCGGGTGATTCTCGCCTCCCAAATTGGCTCCCACCCCTGTCCATTTCTGTCTCCCATTCCTGTCCAACCTCCTGGTATTTACTACATCTGTGCCATCCTCAGTCCGCACCCCCTACCCCCCACGCCCGCGCCGGCTCACCCCTCTGCGCTTCCCCCGGAGGGGGAGGGGCCCCAAGCCGTGGCTTCTGTACTGAGACTCTTTTGTACACCACGAACTTTTTGTATATTTTTAATTTTGCTGCGACATGAGATATTAAAAGTCATTTCAGTACGTGTTGTCTGTGTCCCATTGTCTCAGCTGTTCTGGGTCAGAGGAAGGAGACAGGGGAGGCGGGATGGGGAGGAAGGACACCCTCTGCCACAAACAGTTTGCTGGGAGGGTTAGGCTCTCACACAAAGCTCCCTTCATTGGCCAGAGCCTCCATCCATCAACCAGAATGGAGGGGGTGAGCAAAGGTCCTAGGAATTGGCTCCAAATGCTTCATTTTACAGATAAAGGGGGGAAAGAGATGGGGGGGGGGGCTGACTTGCCAGAGGTCAGAGAATGAGTCCATGACAAGCTCAGGACCCAGGCTGAAGTTTCTAACAAATATTTATTGAGTACCTACTATATGCCAGGCACTCCTCTCTCTCTCTCTCTCTCTCTCTCTCTCAAGAAAAGAACATATCCTCAAGTGAGGATTACAAAAACTAAAAGGAGGGTTGTGCTCTCCCCTGGCTCTGTTTACCCTTCGCTGGCGAGACTACAGCAGTGTGGAGAGCCACCTTGAAGCTGAGAGCAGCCCCAGAGCATGGAGCCAACTAGGAAGCCCCTGGCCCTGCACACCTGGGGCTCCCACATCGTCCTGGGCCATATATATATATATATATATATATATATATATATATATATATATATATATCCATATATATCCCTTTATAGAGAGGAAGGGAGAGGAATAGAGAGTTAGCAACATCGATCAGCTGTCTCCTGCACACTCCCTGCTGGGGATGTGCCCGCAACCAAGGTACATGGAATTTAACCTGGGGCCTTTCAGTCCGCAGGCTGACGCTCTATCCACTGAGCCAAACCGGTTAGGGCCTGGGCCACTTTAATGATAGAAGAGATAAGCTTCCAGCAGGTGTAGGCCACTGCTCTTTAGGTCTCTGTCACAGCCAAAATATATTCTGGCTGATCTAGCTGGTCCTTCGGTCCCTGAGAGGACTTTCGAAGGATCTCTGGGGAAGGTTTTCCCTCACTGAGAAACACACAGGAAGGGGGAAGCCCTGGCAGGATCCTGATGGATGTATCACTCCTAAAGCCGCAGCGGCCATCTTACCAGCCGTCCGGGTGCTCTAGAGCTGCCAAAACAAACGCCCGCACGGGGGGACTTCCACAACAGAAACCCAGGTCCTCATAGTTCTGGAGGCCGGGAATCCCAGGCCCAAAGGCCGGGGGGATCGGCGTCTTCCGAGACCTCTCGCCTTGGCGGGCTGATGGCTGCCTTTGTGCATTGTCCTCACACGGTCTTTCCTGTGTGTGCGCGCACCACTGGTGTCTGTGTGTGTGTACCAATTTCCTCTTCCTGTCAGGACACTGGTCAGATTAGGTTAGAGCCCCCTCTATGGCCTCATTTTAACTTATCTCCATAAACAGCTACACTCTGAGGTACTGGGTGTTAGTGCTTCAACATATACATTTGGGGAGACACAATTCAGCCCACAAGCCCAGCAAAGTGGAAATGTAAGGAGCTTGCTGCCATTTTTGAGCTGCTCAGTTAGTCAGCCCTGAAATCACTTACCATGGAACTTCCTGCCTTAACAGGGTGTCCTTATGCCTAAGCCGCCTCTGGTAGAGCAGTCTGCTCTTTGCAGCCAAAAGCACCACAATCCAGGCTCTGTGTGTTCGTTCAAGCTGTTCCCTCTGCCAGAGTGACCTTCCTTCCCTGTGCCCTTCAAGGCTTGGCTTGGTGAACGGCTCCTGACTGCCTTCCCCCAACTAGTCGCTTGCCTTCACCTGTGTGAGTCTCTCTCTCTAACCAGGTCAGGGTCAGCGTATGCACTGAACACCAGCTGCCACCTTCCCCCTCCTGCCCCACGGCAAGCATTGATAATCAATCCCCTCTTCACGCTGGGAGTCGATCTGGTGTTTCTAATCCTCTACACACACACACACACAGCCCCTGCCAATCAGCTGAAGGTGGCTCAGAAGTGGTGGATTCTATTTGCCACAACTGCTAAGTCTTTGAGAGCAAGGACTTTGTTTCACTCACCTCCTTTATGATTCACAAGCTAATTTTAATAATAAGCATTACCATTGTGTGCTTCTGCTCCCATTTAATCCCTGCAGCTGCCTTCTGAGGCAAGCGCCAGCATTATCCTGCTGTGGACACATGAGGACTCTGAGCTCCCAGAGAAGAACCAACTACCTGTTCAAGGTCATTAACATTTGAACGCAGGTGCACCTGTCTCCACCCTCTTTCAGTGACATTTTCTAAGCACTTGATCTGTTTATGGCCCTGGGAGGGCGCCCAGGGGCCACTGCAGGGAATACACAAATGGCTTGCTGTTTCTAGTGGCACTCAGAGCATGTCTTGTCCTATCTGTGATTCCCAACAGTTCAGTGATGTTTGGAGTTAGTTCAGAAATAGCGCAAGTCCTAATTCTACAGAGAAAGGAAAAGGTTTGCAAAAGTCAGCCATGGGGCTGCCAGAGCAAGAAATCACCTTTTGCCCTAACCGGTTTGGCTCAGTGGGTAGAGCATCGGTCTGCGGACTGAAGGGTCCCCAGGTTCAATTCCGGTCAAAGGGCATGTAGCTTGGATGCGGACACATCCCCAGTAGAGGGTTGTGCAAGAGGCAGCTGATGGATGTTTCTCTCTCATCGATGTTTTTAACTCTTTATCCCTCTCCCTTCCTCTCTGTAAAAAAAATCAATAAAAATAAAAAATAAAAGAAATCACCTTTCACTTCCTGTGCTGCTGGGAGTCCAAGGCTTACTCCGGGGGCTTCGTGGGAGTTTTGATGTCAGGAGCAGGCAGGGATTGGTAGATAGTCTGGCCTCTTCCTGTGGGCGGGCAGGCCAGGCCAGTGGAGATCTTTCTTCCTGCTCCTGGGAGGTGACTGGCAGGATGTAGGGGAGCAGGAGGGTGTGGCTATATGAGCTTGCACTAAGCAGTCTGGGCCGTTCCCCTCCCTGGAAAAGGGGAGGGAGGGAAGGAAGGCAGGCTGGTAGCTGACAGTCTCCTGTTGCCCTCTCCCCCAGAGGCTGCGGGAGCTCCGACCCTCATTCCAACAGGCACTGACCCGCACACCCATGCTTCCAGAAAACCTTCCAGAACAATCCTGTGCTTTGTTTGGCGCCCACACTTCACCATCTCCAGCCGCTTCCTCCGTCCGGGGCCTGATATCTTTCTTGGCACCCCTCTGACCGCAGGGCAGGGCTTTGGGGTTACTGTTCCCATTGGGAAGACCAGAAGCTGAGGCCCAGAGAGGTTATAATGAGCAACCTGCCTTGGACCCTACAGCAACTCAGGTGCAGAGCTTGAGTCTCCAGAACCCAAGCGTCATGGCAAGGGGAGGCTGGGCCAATCAGACCCTTTCCAATAGTCGTGGGTGCGGCATGCAGAGTGGATAGGCCCTACAGGTAAGTGACCAGGCTTCAGATCCAGACCAGGCAGAATTCCCCCCTCTTAGTCGCTGTGACTTCCTTGGGCAGCCTCTCAGTTGAACCTTTAAAAAAAAAAAAAAAAAAAAAAAGTCTGTATAATATTGTAACCCAATGTTGTGAGGAATAAGTGAGACAAAATACTTAGTCCTCAGCACAGAACCACAAAGGGGGCCTTATCCAGGCCAGGACACAGACGCAGAGAGATGGGTAGGTAGTATTTATTGACCACTTCATGTGCCAGGAACTCTCCTAAATGCATTTAATCCTTACCAGGGCACTATGAAGCCAAACTGCCTAAGCCCATTTTATGGATGAGGAAATGGAGTCACAGAAGGTTCAAGGATTTGCCCAAGGTCATAACCCTAGTAAGGGGCAAAGGCAGGATTCAACTCAGGCAGCCTGTCTCTGAAGCCCATTCCTTACCGCCTCCCTCAGTAGTGATGATAAGATTTCACGATCATAACCTGCTTGGACACAGGGTTGTGTAGTTGATGAAGCACTTTTGCAGCAACTCTTTCATGTAGTTCTCACCCCAGCAGCCCAGAGAGGGAGACAATATAATCCCCATTTATAGTGGGGAGGGGGAAACCGAGGCTGTGAAAGGGGGTACTGACTGGCCTTGCCAAAGTCACACGCAAGGTCAGTGGTAGGAGTAAGGGTACAATTTGGGACTTTCTGACTCCAAATTTAGGGGACCCCTAGCTTCACTCAACTCCCAAGCCCCCTCCACAGCAAGCCTCTGGCTGGAGGCCCTGAAGCTGTCTCCCAGGTCCGCGCTCTGGCTGGCCTTCCACAGTTGAGCTGAAGGGTCCCAAGGCTACATCCCGCCCCCTCCACTCTGCTCCTATCGCACAGGAGGGGCAGGAACTCCGGGCTGGTGGAGTTTCCGACCAGGCAGGAAAAAGAACAAAGGGAAACTTTGAGGGGGCGGGGAGAGGGGGCAGTAGTTACGAGGGCAGCAGAAGGGACACTTCACCATGGACTATGAAGTCAAGAAAGGGAAAAAGGTAGGTGGGAGGCTGGGAGGGGCGCAGGGTGAGAAATGTCCCTGGAGCTGGAGCTGGAGCAGTGGGAGGCCAGGGGTGGGGGTGAGGGGCAGTGAGGGGCAGAAGCAGGGCCTCCCTTCTCATTTGGAAGGACTTTTCTCCTCACCCCTGAGCAGTCAGACATTTGGGTTCCAATCTCCCTAGCCTGCTCTCCCTGTTCTCGGTGGCCTCTGCCATCCCTGGAATATGGACAGACAGACACCGTCCAGGGAAACCCAGACAGACAGATTCCAACCTCCTTCCCTGGTATCCTGGGGGAATCCCTGCTGTAGCTTCTCAGGCCAAGGACCATGAATAGGCCCTTCGCCTGCTCCCTGCCTCCCAGGACAGAAGGCGCTCTGCAGAGCAGGTCTGTGCTCTACGGCTCCCAACCTGGCCTGGGACACCTACCTGCTCCCCTGCTGGGCTCCACTCTACTGCCCTCCCCCCACGTCTTCACACAGGGCCCCCTGCTAAGGCTGATGTTCCCAAAGGCTACCCGCCGCGCAGGAACAGCCGCCCGGAGCAGCGTGAGCCGCAGGCCCCTGCACTCCATGCCCCTGTACCCCCCCGACTACCTCATCGACCCCCAGATCCTGCTCTGTGACTACCTGGAGAAAGAGGTCAAGGTGGGTGCGGAGTGAGGAGGAAGGGTGGGCCGTGCTGGGGATGAGGGGTGCAGGGGAGGAGAAAGGTTCCTCCGCCCTCTCGGTGTCTGGCTGGTCTGAATATGAAACCGACAAATACAGATCCACAGGAGAATGAAGACCCCTGAGGAGTGCCCGGCGCAGGGAGCTTTTGTACCTCTTTGACAAAGAAGCAGTAACTGTGTGAAGACTTGACAAGGCCGAGGAGGGTTTCGGCTAGGGCTAGGGACGGGGAAGAAGTGACAGGGTATGTTTGTACAGCCTGCTCGGGCCTACGTCCCGTCTCTGGCGAGAAGGATGTCTGCCTTCCTCCTGTGCAGAGGGGAACCTTTCACACAGGTTTGTCTCCTGCTTTCAGGGAAGAGGAGGTCAGATGTTTTCTCAAACTCCTTTGGCTTAAGATATTCCTTTTTAAAATACATTTTTATTGATTTCAGAAAAAGAGAGAGAGAGAGAGAAACACCAATGATGAGAGATGCCTCCTGCATGCCCCACTCTGGAGATCAAGTCCAAACCTGGGCATGTGCCCTGACCAGGAATCAAACTGAGACCTCCAGGTTCATAGGTCAATGCTCAACCACTGAGCCACGCCAGCAGGACAAGATATTCTTAATAAGGTGCCCTATTTGGGGGTACCATGTCCTGGACCCATCAAGAGAGACCTTACCTACCTCTCCCCACACCTACCCCTGAACAGCCCTGTCTCACACAAAGGAGACTCAGAGAAAGAATCCAGGGGGCCTTGCCCCTGCCTCATACTGTGGACCCTCAGCAAGCGACCTCCATGTGCTCGGTCTCAGTGTTTCCATCTCAACATGAGGCTCAGAACCTACCCGCTGGGGAGAGCGATGGGAGAGGGTTCTGTGTACTCAGAAGCAGCACCTTCCAGTGAGATTTCACTGTAGGGGCGTTGTTGCTATTCAGTGTCCACGTCCAAGGAATCCAGTTCAGCGAACCAAAGGGCACTGAGACCACTCAAGGGCTTGCCTTCTATCTCAGGAACACCATGAAGGAGCAGCGAAGAATCCTCATTACCCAAGGAAGATTGATATGGGGTTAAGAGTGTCAGATTTAGCAAAAACAGTTAAATTTGAATTTCCGGTAAACAAGTAATACTTTTAAAATATACATTTTTTAAATTGATTTCAGAGAGGAAGGGAAAGAGAGAGAAGATAGAAACATCAATGATGAGAGAGAATCATTGATTGGCTGCCTCCTGCACATTCGATACTGGTGATTGAGCCCACAATCTGGGCATGTGCCCTTGACTGAATCGAACCTGGGACCCTTTAGTCTGTAGGCTGATGCTTTATTCACTGAGCCAAACTAGTTAGGGTAGTAATACGTTTTTAGCAATAATGTATGTCCCAAATACTGCATGGGACTAAAAAATACTAAAGCAACAACAACAAACATTTGTTGTTTATGTGAAATTTGAATTTAACTGGAATCTTGTATTTTATCTGGCAATCCCATATGGAGGAAAAAGCTAACAAATAAATCCACTTAAAATTTGGGAACTGAAATAAAAAGAAAATTCAGAATAAGAAGAAAAGGTTTGATTACTTAATCCACCTAGAAGAATAAAACTAAAAGTAGTAAAAGACTTCCTTCTTATATTGATGGAATAACATATAAGTAAACGGATAGCATTAAGTTATAGCTAAGAATGAATGAAGAATCAATTTATTGATTTGGGCCATCATTTTTCTCACAAAATGATGTCTGAGTTGGATACAACATTCATTCCTTCCTATTTGATTTCTTCAACAAGATCACAAAGAGGGTGGGTGACCTGGTGTTTGGGGTGGACAGAGCCACACAGGTCAGTTTCTTTTAAGCTTTTTTTAAAAATATATTTTTATTGATTTTTTTATAGAGGGGAAGGGAGAAAACTAGAGAATTAGAAAAATTGATGAGAGAGAATCATCGATCAGCTGCCTCACACACACACACACTGGGTATTTTCCAGCAACGAAGGTACATGCCCTTGCCCAGAATCGAACCTGGGACCCTTGAGTCCACAGGCTGACGCTCTCTCCACTGAGCCAAACCGGCTAGGGCTATTACAGTGACTTTTGATTCCATCGCAACTAAATAACTGTGTTCAGGCAATATAAGCTAGCAGTGATAGGGTGAGCTGTGGTGTGTGGAGTCCAGTTTTGTCCTTTCTGGTGATATAAATTGGACATGTTTTTTACCTTTGCTGTGCCTTAGTTTTCTCGTGCTTAAAGTGAGTCCTGGCCCGTGTGGCTCTCAGTTGGTTGAACATTGTCCAGTGCATTGAAAGGTCGCCAATTTGATTCCCACTCAGGGCACATGCCCAGGACATCAATGCTTCTCTCTCTCTCTCTCTCTCTCTCTCTCTCTCTCTCTCTCTCTCTCTCTCTCAATAAACAAACAAACAAACTAATAAAAACAGATTTAAACAAATAAATGAGGATGCATGTGCACAAAACTCTCAGGACTGTGCTGTGTCTGGCTCAATAACAGTTACCATCAGGTTCTTATTATTAATTCAGATATTTCTGTCTGTCTATCTGCACTGTATCAGTGAGGAGGTCAGGGTCCTCCAAGGCTTCAGTGTGTCTTCTTTCTGCCCTTCTCCCACCAATCCCCCCCTCCCATCCCTTTTTGCTATCCAGTTCCTGGGCCACCTCACCTGGGTCACCTCCTCACTGAATCCCTCCAGCCGAGATGAGCTTCTGCAGCTGCTGGACGCCGCCAGGGTAAGGCTCTGGAGAGGGGAGAGGCAAGGTCTGTCCCCTTCTCCGTCTCCCACCCAAGGCCCTGGGGGACTCAGGAGATCCGACCCACCATACAGCAGCTGAAGGAGCTGCCGCTGAAAACCACGGCGGAGCAGGACAGCATCCTGAGCCTGTCGGCCCGCTGCCTGCTGCTCACCTGGCGCGACAACGAGGAGCTCATCCTGCGAATCCCCACGCACGAGATCGCCGCCGCCTCCTACCTACAGGACGACGCCCTGCACTTGCTGGTGCTTAAGACAGGTACAGCGGGTGGGCCAGGAGGCCAATAGAAAAGCCTCAACGGCTTGTTTTGGGAATGAGTGTGACCCGGGGCAAGAGCAGGCCTGAGGCTGTGTGACCGGATGATGGCAAAGGTCTGGCCACCCTATCCGGAGAGTAGGGTCCGGATCTGGCCCTATGCCGTAAGACCGAGCCCAGGGCTGAGGCCAAAGAGAGGGCGGCCTGACCCACAATACGGAGGTCAAGTGGTGAAGGCAGGAGAAGCCGGAATCCTGAGGCCCCGGAAGAGCATGAAGTTGAAGGGCCGGTGAAGGGTGAAGGGGGCCGTGGCCACAGCGCTCCGAGGATAGGATAGGGCGGTACTTCGGTGAGGAGCGGGGTCTGATCGAGGGGAGGAGTCTGATTTAATTGAGGGGAGGAGTCTGATCGTGGGGAGGAGTCTGATCGTGGGGAGGAGTCTGATCGAGGGGAGGAGTCTGATTGTGGGGAGGAGTCTGGTCGAGGGGAGGAGTCTGGTCGAGGGGCATGGCCAAACGCAGGGGGCGGAGCTCGAAGCTAAGGTAGCCAGTGGGAGATGTCAGACCTTGCAAATTAGGGCGGAGCCTGAGGCCGGGGGCGGGGTGAAGGGAAGACTGAATCCTAGGGGGCCCTGAAACCAGGGACAAGGTCCGAGTTAAGGGTACAGAGGAGGGACAGTCTGACCACCCCTAGGACCTTGGGCAAAGAGAGGAGCACTGGGGTGGGTGGGGTGGGGTGAGGCGGGGCGGGTGGGAACGGCCTGCGGAGCCTGAGGCCGGGGATGGTGTCCCATAGTGAGCACCAGAGGGAGCGGGGGTCTGGCCTCAGGACCTTTCCGCTGAGGCGGGCCTGAAGCCAGCGGCAGGGCCCGGTGCGGGGGACACCTGCGAGGCGCCCTCAGGCCCCCCAGACGGTCTCCGGGGGGCGCTCTCAGCCCAGTCTCCCATGGCTGAAGTCCGCCCGCCTCTCCCAGGTCTGGGCGTGGACCCGGTGCCAGCGGGCGTGGACGCCAGCCCCGGGGGAGCCGGGCGCGACCCGGGCCCGCCGGGCGCCGCCCCCGAGAAGCGGCGGGTGGGCACCACGGAGCGGCGCCACACCATCTGCAGCCTGGACTGGCGGGTGGCGTGGGGCGGGGCGGCGGGGGCCGAAGCCCGGGCGGGCGGCGGCGGCAGCCTGGAGCGCCAGCGCGCCGGGCCGCGGGCGTCGGGCAGCTGGGAGCGGCGGCAGACCTTCAGCGGCGGCGCGGAGCGGCGGCCCGGCGGCGGCGGCGGCGGCACCGGCAAGCCCGGCGGCAGCTGGGAGCGGCGGCAGGCGGGCGGCGGCGGCAGCTGGGAGCGGCGCCACCCGGGCTCCAACCCCCTGGACCCGGACCCCAGCCCCGACGCCTACTGCAACCTCGTCATCCTGGCCGTGCCCAACAGGGTGAGCCCGGGGCACCCCGCGCCGCTGCCCCTGCCTCCCGGGCGCGTCGGGGCTGGGCTGGTGCCGCTTTCCCCCCTCCCCTCTATCCTGCCCCATCCACGAGCGTCCTGGGTACCTTCTCCCTCCTTCTGACTTCAGTTACTACCTGTGAGCCCGTGACACCAAACGGCTTCTAAACTCCAGCCCCGGACCCTTCCAGGACACTTCCCCCAACTGTCCCAATAGGATGCAACTCAAAATAGACTCGATTTAATCCCTCCTCCAACCCTGCTCTTTCTCCAAGATCGTCAGTGTGCGAACTACGTACCACAGTAACAACCATGAGGACTCGAATCCCCAGCATGAATCCAGTGTAAGGTGGCTAGACGTCCCATTTTTGGGCGGGACAGTCCCCATTTCTAACAAGTTCCAAAAATCGGGACTTTTTTAAAACACCGCGGGACAAATTGTTAAAAATCGGGACTTCTGGTCACCTTAATCCTGTGCCAACCAGTGGCAGACACAGAATCAGCATTAACTTATTTCATCCTAACAGTACCCGGTAGAGGGAAATACTTCAGTCATATCCATTCCATAGAGAAGGAAACCGTGACCCAGGACTAAGTAACTTGGGCAAGGCCACACAGGAATCAGGCGCCGATTTCAGCATTGGTACCTGGAAGCTCAGGGCCTGTTCTCACCGGGACTATGTCGTCACCCAAAGCCTTCTTGCCATTCTTTCCTTGCCTACCCTCCCACAGCCATTCTCGACAATCCCCCTAGCTTTCAGTCATTTGACCATATTTATTGAGTGCCAGCTTGTGCTGGGTATTGGGCGAGGAGCTGTGGGTACAGAGATAAAGGAGTCATACTCGGTGACCTCCCTTAGGGAGCTCACAGTCTAGCAGACACCATCAAGCCCTGTGGCTTCTAAGCTTTTCCTCTGGCCCAGGGTCCCCTGGTGAACAAAGCAGACACGTTGCCTGTCCAAAAGGAGGGATGGATAATAATCAGAAAACTTTCGCTCTTCCTTGAAACACTTTCTCACTTGGCTTCCAGCTCTCCCCATTCTCCTGGTTCCCTCCAACCCCCCATGTCCCTGGCTGCTCCTTCTCTATTGCTGCTTCCCCCTCTTCTCTTCAGCTTCTTAAGGCTGGAGTGCTCCAGGCTTAGTCCTTGATCCTCTTCTCCCTTTTACCCATTTCCAGATGGTCTCTTCCAGTCTTGGGGCATTTAATATATATATTTTATTGCTTTTTTACAGAAAGGAAGGGAGAGGGATAGAGAGTTAGAAACATCGATGAGAGAGAATCATCGATCAGCTGCCTCCTGCACGCCCCCCCACTGGGGATGTGCTCGCAACCAAGGTACATGCCCTTGACCGGAATCGAACCTGGGACCCTTGAGTCCACGGGCCGACACTCTATTCACTGAGCCAAACCCGTTATGGCTAGTCTTGGGGCATTTAAAACCCCGAGATGTCCCCAAAGTTTCTCTCTCATCATCAAATCTCCAGACACATTTTTCCACTCTGCCCCTGCATTCGAAGGTCTAAATGACATACAAGCTGAGCTCCCAGGCTTCTCCCCCAAACCTGCGCCTGCCTTGGTCTCCCCGTCTTGATTGACGGCAGCTCTGTTCTTCTGTTGCTTTTACCAAAACCTTGCAGTGATCCTTGGCTCCCCATTCTCTTCCACACAAACCATATCCACTCTCTCAACAAATCCTCTTGCCCTATTTTTAAAACACAACCAAAACCCACCCATTTCCCCACTCTCCACAGTCCCTGCCCAGGTTCATGCATCTGTAGTCTGAATCATGCAGTCCCCCCTCACTGGTCTGGCCCTTACTTACAATCTCTTCCCCCACGGATCAGAGCAGACCTGTTAACCATTAAGTCACATTATGTCACTGCTCGAAATCTTTCAGTGACTCCCCATTTCACGCAGAATAAAAGCGAATGTCCCTACCATTGCGTATAAAGCCATCTGCCTTCTATTAGTAGCTCCAGCCACCATCCCCATTACCTCTCTGGCCTCATCTTCTTCTACTCTCCCCCCTCATCACTCCACTCTGTACAGACGGGCCTCCTTGTAGAGTGCAAGAGACCTGTGGGTCCTGGGTGGTTCACCGTGGTGTTTGCAGCTCTTAGAACAGTGTTTGGAGCACAGTGGTTACTCAATAAATATCGAATGACAGGATCAATTAAGTCACATTATATTATTATACCTTGTGAGAGGGACCAATAAGAAAATAAGCAGGTTGCAGTGATAATTAGGGAGGAAAATCTATTTCCAAATCCATAGGGAAAATGAGTTTGTGCCCTATGTGTCCCCGTGGACTGTGAGGGCTTTAGCGTACAGACCTCATCTCATTCACCTCTGAGACCAGAGCCTGGCCCAGTACCTGCCACACAATAGAACTAAATGAGAATTTATGGACCAAATAAATAAATGAAAAGTTGTTTTCTAGGAGTTTCTTAGCCTCTGGCCTCCTATCCGAAACACTGTGGTCCCAAGGAGGATAAAGGACTTAGAGTAAAAACACCTGGTGTGGCTGGTGTGGCTCAGTGATAAACCAGGAAGTCATGGTTCGATTCCTGGTCAGAGCACATGCACAGGTTGCAGGCTTAACCCCCAGGGGGGATGGTACAGGGACAGTCAATCAATGCCTCTCATCATTAATGTTTCTATCTCCCTCGCCCTCTCTCTGAAATCAATAAAACCATTAAAAAAAATCTGGGTGCTAATGTTAACCAATGTATGAGCCTGCTGTGAGCCAGGGCGAGCCATTTAATCTCTCCAAGCCTCAGATTCTTAACTATGAAATAAGGATCCTCTCTTCCCTGTCCATTTCGTAGGGTTATTGTAGGGCTCAATCTGGTTTAATAGTACATTGCCCATCCCAAAATGCCTATCCTGAGTCACATTTTTACACCTGAGCTTTTTTTTTATTTTTATTTTTTTTAGACAGAGAGATACAAAATAGAAAATGCCTTCATAGAGTTAATCTCTTTGTCATTTCTGTGTCTCTTGCTTGAAGGCATGACAAGATCAATTGAAGAATCAAATTCTGCCCTAGCTGGTTTGGCTCCGTGGATAAAGTGTCGGCCTGTGGACTAAAGGATCCTGGGTTTGGTTATAGTAAAGGCGCATGCCAGGGTTGTGGGGTTTGATTCCCAGTAGGGAGCATGCAAGAGGCAGCCAATCAAAGATTCCCTCTCATCACTGATGTTTTTGTCTCTCTCTCCCTCTCCCACTCTGAAATCAATAAAAAAAATTTTTTTTTTAAAAAAAGAAGCAAATTCTTCTTTATATTTGTAATCTCCAAAGAATTTCACCCAAGGACTTAAGTTCACTCCTTCTACCAGAGACTGAACTTTATGTATTCATCCTGCTTCCATTTTTGCCCTGGATTCAAGGAAGCTCATATCTAACTAAGTAGTAACTATGTCGAACCTAAGGCTTTTATCCACTTCATTCTTCCTCCTCCTACTAAGTATTGGGAGACCTGGCTCCAGTCCTGGCCAATCACTTTACCTCTCTGGGTTTCACCTTCCTACCTGTAAACTAAAACAAATTGGGGCTTATTTAATTTAATTTTTAAAATATTTTTATTGATTTCAGAGAGGAGAGAGAGAGAGAGACAGAAACATTAATGATGAGAATCATTGATTGCTGCCTCCTGCATGTCCCACACTGGGGATTGAGCCTGCAACTCAGGTATGTGCCCTTGAATGGAATCGAACTGGGACCCTTTAGTCCGCAGGCTGATGCTCTATCCTCTGAGCCAAACCGGCTAGGGGGAGGTCTTTCTTTTAGATAAACTTCAGGAGGGCTAATGGCTCCCCCAGAAATTGGGTTGCATGTGTGCATTTTTCAGGGAAGAAGGGTTAGAATCATCATTGGATTCTATTGTATAAAGGCGTCCAAGACCCAAAGATGGGACATATCCTCAAAGCCCTTTTGTTAAAAGGTATGTGTGTCTCTGAGAGCCTCCTCACACTGTGCCTCCTCCCCCCGGCCAGGATGCTGCCGAGGAGTCCTGCGCCCTCATCTGTCAGGTCTTCCAGATCATCTATGGGGACCAGAGCATCGAGTGCGTGGACCGGGCTGGCTACCACTACACATCCACGCCCGAAAGGCCGTGGCTCTGCAGCCGCAGTGAGTAGTCGAACCCCTGGCCTCCTCTCTTACGAAACATCTGAAAGGCCAGGGGAGGGAGGGTGCCCCAAGACATAGGGCCAGTGGAAGCCTTTAGGTGTTCTGTCTGCCCTACAATTACAGTGTACCCCAATACGTGGTTTGGTTTGGTTTTAATGTCCGTTTTCATGATTTCAACCCTAGCTGCTTCCTAGATGTTCTGGTTGTCAGATTCAGAACAGCTGAACTTCCCTCTCCCTTGTGTTGTTGTGTTCCTTCTTTTGCAGAAACTTAAGATAGTGCATTGTCTGTTTATGAAGCTGGCTAGCCCCATTAGGACAGTAGGTCAAAGCCAAAATTTCAAGACTGGTCCTTGAATGCAATCAAGGGCTGGAATGAGAATGAGGCCCATAGAATATTCACTGAGCACCAACCATGTGCCAAGCAACCTTGTCCATCCTGTTTGCCACTGGATTCTGTGTGCCTCGCACAGGACCACAGACATCACAGATGCTCAATTTTATTTTTTGAATGAATGAAAGAACTCTCTATGAGGCCTTATGATCCCAGTTTTACAGAGGAGGACATTAAGGTTCAGAGTAGTCAATAAAGTAATCAAGTATACACAGCTACTGAGTATCAAAGTTAGGATTCAAAATCAGGTATGTGTGATTCTAAAGCTTCTATCTGCACCAGCTTCGCTCCCCTTGCTGCCTTCAAGACCACTAGGTGAATTTCCTCAGGCCCAGCCCCCTCCACATGGTCCCTGTTTGCATAGTTCCAGCCACAGGGAGATGGCTCTTTACTTCTGGAGGCACTCCCATCTGTAGAAACTGGCTTGAGGAAGCTGGGATCATTCATTAACGGTCGCAGATATGACAGGCAAATAAATGAGGTAAGGCAATAAATATTTCAAGAAATTCATTCGCCCAATATTTGTTGAGCACCTACTATGTGCTGGGCTCTGCAAATCGCCAGGATATATTGCTGAGCAAAACCAGATGTGGCCCTCCCTTATGAGGCTTGCATTGCCGAGGTAATGTGACAGTAAGTAGTTAAAGAGCTACAAAAACACAGTGTAAGCACACGCTGCGCTGTGAGGACATGTAATGAGGAAGCAGCCTGCCTGGGGAGTCAGGGAGGTCCTGAGGAAGTGACACTGAGTGAGCCAAGGTCTGAAGGTGAGGCCAGTCCCTGGCTTCGATGACATAACAGGGCCAGGCACAGAGCCAGTTCTCTGTAAACAGTGCTTCTTTACTCTCAAGACTGAGTTCCTTCCCAAAAAAAGTTCTTTGTTGTGCCAATTCCAACACATCCAGTTTACATAATACTCCCTCACCTGATCCTGCATCTGTTATACCCAAGACCCTCTGAGATAGATAGGAATGTGATGTCCCCATGATGAGGAAGTTCAGGGCCAGGAGACAGGAGGTGAGTTGCCCAAGATCATCTGTGCGTCAGGGGGTGAGGTGTGTGTGTGTGTGTGTGTGTGTGTGTGTGTGTAGGGGAGGCAGGAACCATGGTTAGAAGCTTCCAGTAGCTGCCCATTTCCAAGCAAAAGCTAACATCCTTACAATTGCTTACAAGGCCAACTGTTCCAGCCACCATCCCAACCCCAGGGAGGGGCTGAGGTGGAGGCCTCAGAAGCTGGGGATGCTGACTCCTGCTTTGCTTCCTCTGACGGCCCCTCTGTCTGTGTCCCAGGTGACAGCTGCCGAACTGACGGGACTTACGCCTATGATGCCGACTTCAGCTGCTGCAGCTCTTTGTGGGTACCACCCTTGCTGGGACCCTACTCTCCCCCCTCCTCCCCCCACACACACCTGTTCATAAACAGGGTTGTGCTTCTAGGCATTCTTGAACCCCCTGTGGGTAAGACAGGTGGGAGAAAGTGACCCCACTTTGATTTGTGCCGAGCAGTGGGCACTGAGGGTGGGAGGTAAACTGAACTCTGATGAGCTCAGAGGATCCATACCCCTGAGAGACCTAGGTGTGACCAGAGCCCAGAAGTGGGCCCACGTGGGCCTGTGGTTCTCTCCTAGTCATCCAGACTGAGTGGCCTGCGAGGTCCAAAATCACAGCTGACACCAAAAGTCATTTTGGGTTATTTTAGTTGAAATAGAAAAAAAGGAAGAGCTTAAACAAGATGGGGCATTCTCCCCGTCTTTTACATAAAAGATTAGACCAGTTTTTCATGTGTGGTCTTGTGGTTGTTAGGGGCCCAGGCTTCTCTTTTCCTCCCTCGTCAGCACTTACTTCCATCCTGAAGGCCACCTCATGTCCCAGAGATGGTCATAGCTCCAGCCATCGGGGCAGCACGCCAGAGGCCTCTTTAAAGAGCGTTGCTGGATTTCCCACTGGCATTGTTTACTTACATCTCATTGGCCAGATTTGGTCACATGGCTACAAGTAGGAAGACTGGAAAATGTAGGATTAAAAAAAAAAAAACCTCACCTCACCACCATGTTATAGAAAATGTGAAGACCAGGAGGCAGGCTGGCTTTTTTTTTTTTTTTTTTTTTATTGATTTTTTTACAGAGAGGAAGGGAGAGAGAGATAGAGAGCTAGAAACGTCGATGAGAAACATCGACCAGCTGCTCCTTGCACACCCCCTACCGGGGATGTGCCCGCAACCAACGTACATGCCCTTGACCGGAATCGAACCTGGGACCTTTCAGTTCGCAGACCGACACTCTACCACTGAGCCAAACTGGTTTCAGCCAGGCTGGCCTTTTATTAAGCAATATTTATTGAGCACGTACCCAGGCACTAGGCTGTGTGCTAGGAATACAGTGGGGAACAAGACAAGGACAAGACCCATGGCTAATGCACAGTAGGTACACAACAAGTGAAGAAACACAAGTTCCCTGCTCTTGCATGGTTTACAGCATAGCACAGGAGACAATGAAGTCATTATTTAATAGTGATGAGCATTAATGAGAATGAGCACTAAAGAGAAGCTCAGAGTGCCGAGAGAGCCTGTGCGATCAGGAGGGCCTCTCGGAGGCGATGGCACTTGAACTGAGAGACCCGGAGAAGGAGCATTCTGGGAGAGGGCACAGCAAGTGCAAGGATTCTGAAGCGGGACAGAGCTGGGTGTGTCTGAGGACCAGCCAGGAGCCACAGTGACTGTGGCAGTGACTGTGGTGGGAGAGAATGTTCGGTGAGATCTGGGAAGCCCTTGCCTGTCATGAGTAGACTTTGTGACCTCATTGGACAGAGAGTCTGACCCAGTCTGGGGGGATCAGGGAAAGTTTTCCTGAAAAGATGACATTTAAAATCTAGGTACTCTCCCTCCCTGGAGCAGGCCCATGTGTCTCCTAAACGCTAAGGGACCCCAGGAGGCTTGCAACCAGGGAGCAATGGGCAGGTTAACCCCGAGGGCAACTTGTCCCAGGTTAACCCCCCTAGCCTGTCTCCAAGGCCTCTTTTCTCGTGACTCCAGGGAGTGGACAGCAGCCCCACCGTGGCTCACTTTTTTCTCATAAGATTTCCAGAGAGCCAAAGCAGCCCCATCTTCTACCCTAGGCCCTTTCTTGTTTCACTGCCCCCAGCGTTAATAAATGTTCTCTCACCCTAACCGGTTTAGCTCAGTGAATAGAGCATCGCCCTGCGGACTCAAGGGTCCCAGATTCAATTCTGATCAAGGGCATGTACTTTGGTTGTGGGCATATACCCATTAGGGAGTGTGCAGGAGGCAGCTGATCGATGTTTCTCTCTCATCAATGTTTCTAACTCTCTCTCCCTCTCCCTTCCTCTCTGTAAAAAAAATCAATAAAATATATATTTTTCAAATAGAAATAAAAAACAAATAATTAATTAAATAAATTTACTCTAAAAAGAAAACACACTCACACATAAAATAAAATCCAATGATGAATAAGAATTAGCTGAGCAAAAGATAGGGGGAGAGAGCCGTTCCAGGATGATGGAACAGAATGTGCAAAGGCCCAGAGGAAAAGAAGGCAGGGTGTCCTGAGCACAGACAGCAAGAGTGAGAAGAGGCTGGAGAGGCAGCCAGATAACGTGGGGCCAGGGAGTGTAAGGCCTTGGAAGAGAAGATGGGTCCTAGGATGAGGCCTCAGCCCAGAGCACGAGTAGCTATGCCCTCCCACGTTCCACCCACGGCCGGGGAGGAGCTGGAGAGAGGTGAGTGAGGACCCCTTTCTGCTTGTCCCTGCAGCAACGGCTCCCAGGACACGTTTGAAGCGTGTTACAGCGGCACATCCACACCCTCTTTCCACGACTCCTGCTGCAGCGGCAGCGACCACAGCGCCGTGGGCCTGGAGCAGTTGCAGGATTACATGGTCACGGTGAGCTGGGCACCGGTGCAGGCAGCACCAGCAAAGGCCTAGAGATGGGAGAAAACAGGTCATTTCAGGAACCGTAAGTAATCTTGGGCATCATGACTGAAGCATAAGGCCCAGAGTGGGACCTGAAGTGAGGAGAGTATACTGAGGCCAGCTTGTGGAAAGGCCTACACCAGGGGTCGTCAAACTCATTAGTCAACAGAGCCAAATATCAACAGTACAACGATTGAAATTTCTTTGGAGAAACAAATTTTTTTTAAACTGAAACTTCTTCTAATGCTACTTCTTTAAGGTAGACTCACCCAGGGTGTGGTATTTTGTGGAAGAGCCACACTGAAGGGGCCAAAGAGCCGCATGTGGCTCGCGAGCCACAGTTTGCCGACCAGGGGCCTAAACTAATGTCAGCAAGCATTTTCAGAGGAGGGCTGGGCCACGGATGCCCTGCGAGAGGGCTCTGGGCCTTTCAGGCAGGGGCTGGGTCGGGTGCTTCCTGGGATTGATCTCCAACGGTGTCCCCGGTGTCCCCGCAGTTGCGGAGTAAGCTGGGCCCCCTGGAGATCCAGCAGTTTGCGCTGCTGCTGCGGGAGTACCGGCTGGGGCTGCCCATCCAGGACTATTGCTCGGGCTTGCTGAAGCTCTATGGAGACCGGCGCAAGTTCTTCCTCCTCGGTGAGCCCCTCCCCCACCCCCCAAAGGTCAGCCAAGGCCCCTGCGCGGTCAGGGCAGTCCTGGTTAGTCTCCAGGCTGGGAGTGTTTGTTCCTTATCTCTCAGCCTCTGATAAGGCTGAGAGAATGAGACCTGTGGAGCTTGTGAGAAGACCAAGGTGCAGAGAGGAGAAGGGACTTGCCTTCAGTCACAAAGTCAATAAGAACAAAGCGCTGTTAAAATTAAAAAAAAAAAAGAAAGCAAAAATAAATGACCTGTTTATATATTTAAAAATAAAAAAAAGAAGTGATGAAAGTATGAACATAAAAAAAAAAAAAGAAGAAGAAGAAGAAGAACAAAGCGCTGGTATAACCATCCCATCTTCACGGCAAACCTGGGAGAGGAGCCCATCCTTCCCATCCGACCCCAGGAGGAAGCTAAGGCTCAGAGAGGCCAAGGAGCTTGTTCAAGGTCACACAGCTAGTGAGGAGGGCTAGTGAAACAATAGTGGGAATGATAGTATTACTCAGTTAGCATGTATTTGGCCATTACCAGGTGCCAAGCATTCATCTCGTCGAATGGCCTCAGATCTGGGAAGTGGGGGCTATTATTTACCCCCTATTTTGCAGATGAGCAAACTGGGGCTCAGAGAAGCAAAGGGCAGAAGTCACAGAGTGGTCACTGAGGTGAAATGAGCGCCCTTTTATGGGGCACCCGGTGTGTGCTAAGTACCTTATTTAACCCTAACATGCCTACCAGGAGGAGATGGGGAAAACCTCCGTTTTCCCCGGGAGGAAAGTAAAGCTCAGAAGAGTTGTTCTTTTTCTTTTTCTTTTTTTTTAAATTTATTGATTTTAAACAGGGAGAGAGAGAAAGAGGGAGAAACATGGACTTCACGAATTCACTGGTTGACTCCTGCAGACGCCTTGATCAGGGCTGGAACCTGCAACCCTGGCCTCTGGAAAACTCTCCAACCAACGGAGCCAGCAGCCAGGGCCCAGAGTAGTCACTTCATGAGAGTCACACAGCTCTGTAATGCGGGTGCGACAATAACAAGCTAACCCTAATGCGCATGTGCCATGAACCCCGAGATCTGTCATTATTCTCTGGCTCAGAGTCACAGCGCGTGAGTGGTGGGCGGGGATCTGAACCCTGATTTCCAACAGAGGCGATCCCCCTGTGGGAGGGGAAGGGGCCGGACCCCTGGGAGTCACCTGCCCCTCGGCCCGCAGGGATGCGGCCCTTCATCCAGGACCAGGACATTGGCTACTTCGAGGGCTTCCTGGAGGGCGTGGGCATCCGCGAGGGCGGCATCCTCACCGACAGCTTCGGCCGCATCAAGCGCAGCATGAGCTCCACGTCGGCGTCCGCGGTGCGCAGCTACGACGGCGCGGCCCAGCGGCCCGAGGAGCAGACCTTCCACCGGCTGCTGGCCGACATCACGCACGACATCGAGGCGCTGGCCCCCGACGAGGACAGCACGGACGAGGAGGCGCGGGGCTCCCCGGGCGGCAACGAGGCGTCGGAAGACAACTACCTGTAGCCGGAGGCTGCCGCCGGGCGGAGGGCGGAGCGCGTGGCCCTGCAGCCTGGCCTTGGACTCTCACTCCGGCCTGGGGCGATGCCCATCCTCTGGGCCCCTCCTCACCAGGCCACCACCCCCAATCCCGCCTCCATTCCCCGTCTCAGATCCTGCCCTAAGGGCTCCGGTTCCTACTGAAGTCCGAGGCAGGGGCTTGGGGCTCAGCTAGCCACTCTGCACACCCTCCCGGGATGGGCAGCGGCCCCCTGGCCCCCTCCTCTTCCCAGGATCCGCAGCAGGATACCCCCTCCTCCCTGGCTGCGCGGCTTTCTGAAGGCCCCGCGAGGGGCGATGAGTGGGCTCCACCTTCTGGCCGACTGAGAAAAGAATCCCCACAGCCTGGGAGACCGCAGTTCCTCCTCCTCTACAGCCGGAGGAACCGAGGTTGAAAGAGGGAAAGGGACTTGAGGGAATCTCCTGATTCTCCTGCGATGCTATCTCAAACCGACCAGGCTACGTCTGCAGAGGGTCTTTTTAAGGCTCTAAATAGCAGGGACTCCCCCGACCCCCACCCCCACCTCCCCACCACACTGAATCAGATCATCAGTGTGGAGTAGAGGTTTTTCTCTGCTGGGAGTTGACTCGGAGGAGGGTGATTTGGGTCCCAGTCCTAAGACTCCAAACAAGTTGCTTATTCAGATCTTTGATTTGGAGCCGGACAGACTTAGGGCTGCCCTCTCCAACCTGCCTTTGGATCTCTTTGGCTACCCAAGACCCCTGAGAGGGGGTCTGGTTAGCGTCCTAGCCCCTGTGCCCCATCTCCTTGCATGTCAGATGACAGGGGCCCCACCTGCCTCAGGGGGAGGTCACGGAGATTAACCAAGGTCAAGACCTTAGTGCTGAGTCTGCCATAGGATGGCCCTCAGAAAATGCTGTTCCCTTCCACATCTAACACGTTCTAACTCAGTTTACCTGTCTTTACCCCATGTGCACTGGGATGGGAACTGAGGTGGGAGTGAGGTCTAAGAAGACCCTGAGGGAGCACCGTTTGGGAAGGGGAAATAGGACTTTCCCTCACAGCTCCACTGCAGCCTGGCTTCATGCTGGAGCCAGAAAAGTACCCAAGACTCACAGAGCCATCCCAGGGGTCTTGGGCAGCCAAAGGAATCTAAAGGGAGGGTAGAGAGGGCAGCATTAGTACAGCGTGTGGCTCAGTCCAAGGACAGGCTTGGAGGTTAAAAGAAGTAAGTCCTGAAAGGAAACCAGAGACTGACCTAGAACTGTGGTCAGCAAACTAGGGTTCCCAAGACACATGCGGCTCTTTGGCCCCTTGAGTGTGACTCTTCCACAAAATACCACGGCCTGGGCAAGTCTATTTTGAAGAAGTGGTGTTAGAAGAAGTTTAAGTTTTAAAAAATTGGCTCCCAAAAGAAATTTCAATCGTTGTACTGTTGGTATTTGGCTCTGTTGACAAATGAGTTTGCTGAGCACTGGCCTAGAAGAACTAGTAAGTTTATTTATAATAACATTACAGAGCCCTTCATGGCAAGACACATGGTTCTTACTAGGAGGTAGGTGTTATCACCCATTTTTAAAATTGACTGAGAGAGAGAAAGAAACATTGCTTTTTGTTGTTCCACTTACGTATGCATTCATTGTCGATTCTTATATGTGTCCTGACTGGGGATCAAACCCACAACCTTAGCGTATTGAATGATGCTCTAACCAATGGAGGTACCCAGCCAGGGCTACCATTACCCATTTTAAAATAATAACATTATTGTTAGGGCTTCAGGTCCAGAGAGTTCCATGAGTCATACTCAATTTGTGGCAAGTAACCATCTCAGCAAAATTGGTCTGTGCAAGACACTTCTGCTATTTTGCTCTGTTTTATTTTCCTTTTATACCTACACATTCCCATACTCCTCCTCCCCATCATGGGCACCCACTCCTATGTGTTGATGTATGTCCTTGGACATAAAATATACAATGCTTTGTGTGTGTGTGTGTGTGTGTGTTTACACTTCATAAATAGTATTGGGTAAGGATCTCATTTTGTTGCTTCTTTTTCTTTTTTTCCTTCTTTTTTTTAAAATATATTTTATTGATTTTTTACAGAAAGGAGGAGAGAGGGATAGAGAGCCAGAAACATCGATGAGAGAGAAACATCGACCAGCTGCCTCTTGCACACCCCCTACCAGGGATGTGCCCGCAACCAATGTACATGCCCTTTACCGGAATCGAACCTGGGACCCTTCAGTCCGCAGACCGACACTCTACCACTGAGCCAAACTGGTTTCGGCTTGTTGCTTCTTTTTCACTTCATAACATGTTTTCAAGATCTACCCATCTAGCTTGTTGCAAAATATTCCAAGCTGAGCATCCACTGTTTTATGTATCCTTTCCCCCAGTGATGGACACTCAGGCTGTTTCCATCTCCCTCTTACCACAAACAACACTGAGATTGGCATCTTTGTGTATGTCTCTTATGGAGCTGCATGAAATTTTCTTTGGGCTCTATACTCAAGAGTAGAATTACTAGATCACAAGTCAGATAGGTTTTAAGTGTCACTAAATTCTGCTAAAGTGAATCCACTAGCAACCTGAGAAGGATGCTCTCTCCCCACGCTTTCATCAGCTTTTACATGACCGGACTGTGTAATTTGGCCTAGAGATCGGGCGATAAGGTGGCATCTCATCGTTTTAACTTGTATTTATCTATTAATCCTGAAATTTAGAACCTCCTCCTATACTTGTCAGGCATTCAGATCTTTTGCCCAATATTTATTGGGTCTCTTGTCTTTTTCTTGTTGATTTGCAGGGGTAACTTATACATTTTAGATATTAACCTCTTGTTGGCTGTTGATGTTCCAGATACCTTCTCCCAGTATGCTGCCCATATGTTATCTATGGCAGTGGTTCTCAAACGTTAGCATGGGTTAGAATCTCCTGGAAGGTTTGCTAAAACACAGATTGAAAACTCCACCCCGAGGTTCTGGCCAAGAATTTGCATTTTTAATAAGTATTTAAGTGATGGTGATGGTCCAGGGATCACACTTAGAGAACCACTGGCCTAGAGTGCTTTGCTTGGAGCAAATTTGTTCCATTGAACAAATCCGTAATTTTGATCTTTTCAAGTCTATATATCCTCGTTTTATGAATGAAGAAACTGGAGCTCAAGGAATTGAAGTGGATGGCCCAAGGTCACACAGTGAGCTAGGATTTGGACCCACATCTGGCTAACCCCAGAGCCCATGCTCCTAGTTGCCCAGCTACCCTGCCTACCAGACTTAGGGATGTAGTGGTCTCAGGCTGAAGCATTGGGACCTGAAACTACAAAAGGCCTTAGTAGGCTCCTAAGTGAGACAGCCTTAGAGGGAGGAGTCAGTTGTTTAGAAGCTGGGGCCAAAGACCTAGAAGACTCTCTTAAAGGCCTGCGGCTTTTGCAAGCTCTGAAATTGCCCAGTCCTAGCCAGGGCACAGTGACCGGCTGCTGAGAGGCACTGGAACACTTCTTACCCCACAGCTCTGACAATGGAGCAATTTCCCTCCGCCCCGAGGAAGTCCCCACCACCCCAGAACTGCCCTGTTACCAAAGCCACGTAACCTCTAGTTGCTGAACCAAAGAGCTCTGACTGGGGTGGCACAGGCTCTGAGCATGAGGACTCTGGCCACACTTCCTCCTATCATGTTCACAGACCCAGCCAGGATCACTTCCCACCATGGTCCAGTTCCTGGCACTGCAAGAGGGGAAACCCCCTGGGAGTAAACAGCTGATTCCCAAAGATTTATAGGGATGGTGTAAGAATGGAACTTCCCTACCAGCTGGATCCCCTGGGGGCAGAACTGCCCCAGGCATGAGTGATGAAGTCAATGAAATTACCTTTACCCCCTACATTAAGCTCCTCCTACTTTGGGACCCTGCAACTTCCTACTCCCTCCTGGCATCCAACTGGAGACGCCTAGCAGTTCCTCACCACTGTGTGTTGGGGAGGAGTCCTGGGGCCAGTCATTTGGTCACCAAACAAGAGGGCACTCACTCTGTGCCAGGCACTGTGCCATACAGCTCTCTCTGGAGAAGATGGAAAATGCTTTGCAGAGAAAGTGACTATGAGCAAAACTTTGAAGGAAAAGCAAGATTTGGGGCAGGTATACTGTACAAAGGTAAGCCTTCCAAGTGGGGTCAAAATAAGCAAAGGTCAGGGAGTTCAAAGGAGCAAGGCAGACTCTAAGACTAGTGGCCAGTTAGCACTAGAGCGTGGTTAGACCCTCTGCCTCCCAGGTCAGACTGAGTGAGTTTTGAATATCAACTCTGACATCTGCTACTCGGGTGACTTTGGGTAAGGCCCTAAATATCTCTGGGTCTTAGTTTTCTTATCTGTAAAATGGGAATAATAATAGTATCCCCTTTAAAGACCTCATAGATGATTGTGACACTTAAGATCATTCACGTAAAAGTACAAATAGTAAGTGTTCAATAAATGTGGCCATATTATTGCTGCTGGAGGAATGTGGGGTGAGTGAGGTGGGGGACAGGGCATCAGAGAGGAAGCTAGAGGAGTGGGGAAATTGAGAAGACCCTTTAGGAACAAGAAAGAGAAGGCAATGGGGATTGACGTCACGGCTTACATCTTCCGGAATGAACCTAGCTACCGGCTGAGGGAGGTTGCCTGGAGAATAGAGGAAAGCCTGGGTGCTGGGGAGTGGGACAGGAGGCTGGGACAATGCCCAGATAAGAGATGCTAAGACCTGACTCAGATGGGGTAAGAGGAAGGAAGAGGAGAGGGCAGGTCCCAAGAGGAGGGGAGGGGAAGAGGGCTCCCTCCTGGCTCAAAAACAGCAGCCTCTCACATCCTTTGATTAGACTCATTCATTCATTCCACCATTATTCATTTATTCATTAATTCATTCCACAACTAAGTTTTTTTTTTTTTTTTAGCACTTGAACCCTGGGCACATGAAGCTTACTTTCTAGGGAGTTTATATAGCTACTAGAGGCCCAATGCATGAAAATTCATGCACTGGAGAGGGGTCCCTCAGCCTGGCTTGTCCCCTCTCACAGTTTGGGAGCCATCAGGGATGGGAAGCGACCAAGTAGAATATAGGTGGTAAGGGTGGGAGTTTCATTGTAAAGGTCTTTAAATTTTGCTGTATGTTTGGAAATTTTCATAATAAAATGGAGAAAAGCACCCTTGATAACAATATGTAACAATCCTCTCTGTTATTATTACTTTAATCACACAAATAAAAATGAGTGTAGTTTAGGGGACAGGGTAGGTTTGAAGAGGTCAATGGGGGGAAGTGAATATAGTCTATCTGGCGTTGCTCAGTGGTTGAGCATTGATCTATGAACCAGGAGGTCATGGTTGGAGCCTGGGTTGCAGGCTCGTTCCCCAGTGTGGGGTGTGCAAAAGGCAGCCTTTCAGTGATTCTCTCTCATCATTGATGTTTCTCTCTCTCCCTTCTTTTCTCTGAAATCAATAAAATATATTTTAAAAAATGAATATAGACTAATTAAATTTTTTTTAAACAAATAGAGAAAAAGTCACCATATCTTTCTTCCATATCATAATGCTCCTTTCTTCTTCAGTGGCAACCTCTAAGACACATGTGTCAAACACAAGGCCCGCGGGCCAGATCCGTCCCGCCAGGCCTTGCAATGTGGCCCACACCGTGCTGTCATCACTGCACTCCGCTGCGTTTCCATCACAATGACAGTTTATGACTGTTCAGTAAACCATTCGGCCCGCGATTTAGGCTGGATTTTAGATTTTGGCCCCTTCTCTGATTGAGTTCGACACCCCTATTTTAAGACATGGCCCAGATGGGGTAAGATGTGGGCTGTGTAGTTTCCAGACGTTTCTCTATGCATTTGTTGTAGGTGGGGTCAAACCAAACCTGGATTCAACAACCTTGGTACTTGGATTCTGGGTAGGAAAGAATTAGAGT